AATGGATATGTAATAAATTTATGCCAGTTCCAGAATAGATGATATATTTTATTAGACCAATGCAAAATTTAAACAAAGAGCAAACTTTAATTAATAAAATCCACTTCCTCACGCACTAAGAACACCCCCTTCATCGATGGTGCAGAAGAATTTTCCATAAATTGATATTACATATTTGGGAGACATGATCTTCTTGTGAGGTTGAACTTTTACTGTCTGCAGCAAGATTTGGAATTTTTGCTCTTGAGACCAAAAGGTTGTAGATTACCCCATGACCAGCCCACACTCTCACACACACATTGTTTGCTTGAAACAAAGTTCCCTTTAGCTATGGAGGTGGGGAAAGACAAAACAAAGATCCATCAGCTTTTAGCACAAGTTAGGGTTCATAATTTAGTTCATTCCTCAAGTAGAAGCAGCCAACTGTGCCAAATTAAAATTCAGACTAATGTTTTTGCCTAGTGAGTAGAAATGGGCATGAATTGAAAAACAAATTTCAAAATTCATTTAAAAATTGCTAATTTGTCCATTTGCATTTGTACATATCAATGCCCATGACAAATAAGAATCAATGAATTTTTAGTGATTTTTATTTGTCAATTTGTTGGGCTAGAAAATTGGCCCTCAGACACCTAGAGGTACCAGAATTACTGGTTAGCTTCCTCTGACTCTCCTCTACAATCCCTCTGAGTTAGGTGAAGGTTGGATTTCAGATATCTGAGTTATACACCTTCAACACCTTCAAAAAGGCACTCCCAGGAAAGTTCTCCCCAGGCACCTAAAGACACTAAAATCACACAGAAGATTCCCATGACTCTCCTCTATGATAGCTCCCAGTTTAGTGAAGATTGGGCTTCCCCAAGCCTTCTGCTGAAGGGCACTTCCCTGGGGGAACCAATTTGTGAGTATATACCTTGGATGTCTTGTTACCCAGTTTTGGCGGAAACAGTCCCTGGTGCAAGACCAAGAAAAGGAGATGCAACATAATTTTATTGAAGATACACACTAGTGACTTTGCTCTAAAGTTGTGGGCATATAACTCAGACACTTGAAACCCAAACTTCACCAAATTTGCCGCCTTGTAGAGAAGAGCCAAAGAAAGCTTCTATGCTATTTTAGTGCCTTTAAGTGCTTGAGAGCATTTTATAGGATTTTAAAGGCAAAAATGAATTGACAAATCAATTTTTTGACTCATCAGAAAAAAATATTTGCTATTCATGATTTGTCACGTTAATGAATCATGAATCGAAACAAATCACAATTTTTCATGCCCATCTCTACTTGTGAGTATAAGTTCATATTCAAGTCATCTGTGAAGAATTCAGATGGCTGGTTTTGGGAGTCCATGATATCCTGTTGCTGTGTCCAGCCATAAATAATTTTTTTATGTAGTCCAGGAAAAAAAAAGAGGGGGGGAGAAAGGGCCAGTGTGGTCCTATTATTTATTTATTTATTTATTTATTTATTTATTTATTTATTTATTTATTTACCGCCCATCTGGCAGCGTGGTGAGGGACCTGGGGTCAAGGCAGGGATGTAGCTGGGCAATCCGCTTTAGGTGGAAATAAGTGGACTGAACCACAGACCCTATCTGAGATGTCATTGATAGTGATGGGTCCAAAAGCACACCCACGCTATGAACCTCAGCCTTCATAGAAAGAGTGCCCACCCAAAAGATAGGGAAGCACCCAGACCACAGACACTAGGAATCCCTGCCCACAGGATTTCCATCTTGTCTGGGTTCAGACTCAGTCTTTTGTTCCTCATCCATCCCAGCACCGCATCCAGGCAGTGCTCAAGGGATGAGACAGCATCCACTGCAGAAGGATGGAAGGAGAGATAGAGCTGAGCGTTATCTCATATTGGTAACACAAAGCTCCAAAACTCTTGATTACCTCGCCCAGTAGCCTCATATAGATCTCAAATAGCATTGGGGATATGATTGACCCCTGCAGGACTCCACAATTGAGAGTCCACGGAGCAGACATCATCTCCCCAACTCTCTGAGGATAGTCCTCCAGGAAGGATCAGAGCCAAACCAAAGCCTGACCACCAGTCCCCAACCCCAAGAGCCTCCCCAGGAGGATACCATGGTCAACAGTATCAAAGGCCCCTAAGAGGTCAAGGAGGACCAATAATGACATATTGCCCCTGTTGGCCTCCCTGAAGAAATCATCTTGCAGGGTGACCAATGCTGTCTCCATGCCATTATGCGTCCTGAACCCAGACTGGAATGGATCAAGGGCATTGGTCTCCTCCAGGAGGGCCTGAAGCTGATTGGCCACTACTCTCTCCACCAGCTTGCCAATAAAGCAGATATTGGCAACTCAACGAAAGTTATCTTGAAGATTACACAAATGCAAGTGTAAATCATATATTTTATTGGACCACTAAAGAATTAAATAAATAGCAAGCTTTCATTGATAAAATCCACTTCCTCAGACTATAAGCACATCTTTTCAATGGATGGTGCATAAAAAAAAGTCCAGCTATTGATCACATATCTGGGAGAGATGATAAGTGTGTGCAGGTTACCTTTCTCTTGGAATAATTGAAATATATCCAATACAGCTCTTTTGCTGTGACTTTAATGAAGGATATATGCTCTGCAAGTATACCCTGTGGCTCTTTTATTTGCTACTTGGCATTTTGCACTCTGAATGCTCATGCAGAAAGGATGCAGATAAAAGTCAAAGTAAGAGGGACTGCCTACTGTACTCGGTACATTAAACAATAGCACGAGCTTTTGATCTATCATGGCATACTGTTCATTTTAAAGAGACTGCTATTCCTAACATCAGCCATGTCTGGGATAAGTGCATAAAAATCCAGAAATAAATCATAAGCAGTTGATGGAAAGCTTGGAATGAGTTACACCACAGTTCTTCATTTAGAAAGTGATAGATGCCGGGTGTCCGCCCATGTGTATCAGTGAGGCTATCAAGAGCGTATGGCCCAAAGAGAAATGTGTATCGCAGAGCAGTGGTGAGAAAAGAAAACTTTGAGTACAGGATATGGAAGCACAGATTTGCCTCTGTTCAGGTGTTTCATATTGGGAAGAACTGATATGAGAACACATCAGAGCAGAAGAAATTGTGAGAGGAGTAGACACTAAATTCTTTTTCAGTAGATTTTCCATTAAGGAATATGCTTTTATATCTGTATTCAGTGGAGATATAACGAATGTTTGTCTTGTTCTCATCAATTTAGCCCAATTAATTTAGTTGTGACTGAATGGGTATATTTACAAGAAATTGTCAACCCCCATGAGGTTCCTTACTTAAAGTTGAGAGGGGGAATTTCTTTTTTCTTGTCAAAGTCTCTATAATTTCCAAAGGTCCCTGTACAAACCAAGTTTTTTTATTTCACTTCCAGATGTAAAGCACAAACCCAGGGCAAATGGAATGCTAAAAAGAGAAACCAATATATGGTACTCCTTTTTGGTGCTCCTAATCCATACACATCCATGGAACAAAACAACACCATAGCTGTTTTGCACAATTGGTACAGCATGTTACAGACTTGCTTGCATTGTTTGTGCCAAAAAATATATCTTTTTGTCTTTTCTTGCAAACACCACAAAATAATTCACTTTCTTGCATGCCAAAAAGAATAATTTTCCAACTCCCTGTTCTTGAATAAGAGGATGAAATAAAACCATAGTGTACCTTTCTACTACAGAATATTGGATGATAAAAGTGGCTACCATCCTGTCTTCTTCTGTGTAGATCTCTCTAGAACAGTGATCACGTTGGCAAAAATCTGGCATGAAGAAGATGAAAGGAGGCATACACTGAAATATTGACCGAACCTTAAGAAATCTTCCAATTTTTTAAGTGACAAAGATAAGTAAGCATAGATGTTATGAAACATCTCTCTGCTTTCCTCTAGACCTTCTGAAAATGGAGAAGGTTAGTAACAAAACAAATATGCAGCTGGAAAGATGTATTTGGTTACAAGGACTGAAATACAGTGTGGTTTTATTGACCCATGCACATTTTATATCCCTATTCAGTTCTTTTTATTCATGCCATAGCTCCTTGGAGAAAGAAAGAGTCATATAGAGAACCTACCAAATTGTGCCTAGTACTTATATTTTACATGCACTTCTACGGTACATGGATTTAATGTGTAGTAATAAATACCATAATAACATCTACATTTCTATTGCATCTTTTTATATTCCCCAGTCTATCCCACTGCAATTTGCAAATGTTGGGACTCATTTTTCTTCCCATGTTAGTTATCCAGGGTCTATAGATTTTAACAGAGTTACACTTGATTGACGTTGGTATGAGAGAGATTGGAATCGGGCTCTTGATATGCAGGAACTACTCTATGCAGCACTGAAGGTGGTTATGGAACAAGATTGTCCTGCATTACAGACACTCGAAACAGCAGTATGTATTTAGAAACAACCATGGGAAATTACAACTACATTTAGTTTGACTAAGATTTCAAGACCAGTATCAAGATCAGAATTGGCCTTACTTCTTGCACTATTTTAATACAGGACTTGCCATATTTTGTATTTTTGCATGAAAGGAGTAATCAACCATTACAGTCCACCTGATTATAGATTATGTCCAACTGTTTGAACCAGAGATAATTACTGTCAATGTCCACCTCCTTGTGCAGTCTCTTATCCCTTCCATTACACTTTTTTTTTGCCCTGGACAGTTGGAGGACTCAGCAGAACAATGGCTGTGGTAGATGCAGAAGGAGCAGGGAGCCATCAAAGATCTTGTCCAACTTTTGGACTTTTCTCAGTGTAATTCCATTCAAAGAATGTTGTTGCTTTTTGCAGGGGGGGGGAAGGGGGAGCTATTACTTTTATTTTGTGAGAAAACATTTATATTATTTTCCCTGCACTCCACTTTTTGAGTTCCAGAGTCAATGGAATTTTGACATTTTGATTAGCAAGCTAATTAGTTGTAGACTCTGTCAGATAGATACATGGTTGATTAGAGAGAGTGCTCACCAATGGTTCTTTGAGAGGAGGTAACAAGTGAGGTAGCACAATGCTCAGTCCTGAGCCTAGTGCTCTTCATCAGTTTTATTAATGGCTTGGATCAGGGGATACAGGGAATGCTCATCAGATTTGTGGACGACACAAAATTTGGTGGAATAGCCTGAAAGACAGAAACAAAATTCAAAAAGATTTTGACAAGTTTGACCACTAGGCTGAAAACAATACCATGAAATTTAATAGGGACAAGTGCAATGTGCTATCTCGGGGGGGGGGCAGAATTTAGTTACAAGACAGGGCGATACTGCCAAATGAATCCCAGTTATATTATTTTGGCCATTTTAAAGATCATTTGATAATTTTCCAGTCACATGACAAACAGCCAACATTGTTTATTTTGCCCCAGCAATTGGTTTATTTCTCTCTTGCCAGGACGATTGTTTTACATTGTAACAATGATGTATTGCTTCATTCCTTATCATTTCATCATGTGTGAATGTTGCTGTCAATTTATTTCCTTTGTGAAGCTGTTGGGGTTTAGGGTGCTGTAGCCACTTTATGGCAACTACACTTGTGCTCTTTTTTTTAATCTTTGAATGAATATTGGTAAATCACTAGTACTACTACTAGTGAAAACAGCATGAATACATTGCTCAGAAGACAGCTCAAAGAAAACAGCCTTCCTCCCTCCCTTGTGGGTGAAAGAGGGCTTGAAAGAGGGACATTTCCTACTTTAAATTGTAAAGAAAGGGATGTAGCATTAACATCTACTCTCTATCCTTTTTAAAACACTGCTCTCCATGCTACTTTGAAGACCTTTACAAAATCTGCTTCCTTTTCCTGATGCTGTGTGAAAGTGAAAAGAAAAATGAAAACCAAGAACTGAAGAGGGAGGGATATGCAGGGAAATATGGAAAAGGGCATGAGTGAGTAAAGGAGGGAAGGAAAAAGTAGAGAAGGCTCGTACCATTCCATTGCTGTACTGATATATCACCTTTGTTATTTTTTAAAAAGGACAATAGGGGCCCTGATTGCCCAAGAAACAGTGAAGAAAATGAATCAATACAAAATAAAAACAGTGTAGCCTGCTCTAATGGTTCAAATAGCAAGAAATTAATTGATACAGTTAAAATGATGTGAATGCTCCTGCCAATATATATATATATACCATGTGACCATTGGAAAAAAATGTATTGGTACATACAGAAGTACGAAAAGAATCTATAACTGAAGTTCTTTTCTCATGTGTGGTCAAGTTCAATATTACTATGGCTGAGAATTGGAATTGTGGTAGATCATGAGCTGAAAACGAGTCAACAGTGTGATTTAGTTGCAAAGAAAAGGCAAATGCTATTTTGGGCTGCATTAACAGTCTCCAAATCCCGCGAGGTGCTAATTCCCCTCTATTCGGCACTGGCTAGGCCTCATCTTGAGTATTGTTTCCAGTTCTGCACACCATACTTTAAGAAGAATACCAACAAACTTGAACAAGTTCAAAGGAGGACAACAGAGATGGTCAAGGGACTGGAAGTCAACCCCTATGATGAAAGATTAAAAGAACTGCGCATGTTTATCCTTGAGAAAAGAAGACTGAGAGGGGTTATGATAGCACTTTTCAAATACAGAAGAGGGTCAGGATCTGTTCTTGATTATCACAGAGTGCAGGACACATAATAATAGGTTCAAGCTACAGGAAGCCAGATTTAGGCTGAATATCAGGAAAACATTCATAACCATTAGAGCAGTATGACAATGAAATCAATTACCTCAGGTGGTGGTGAGTGCTCCAAAACTGGAGGCATTCAAGAGAAAATTAGACAACAATTGGTCAGATACTTTGAGTTGGATTCTTTCATTGAGTATGGATTGGACATGATGGCCTCATAGGCCTCTTCTAACTCTGTTTCTCATCAAACTCTCTGTAATTTGTATAAGGCTTCCACACAAAATTAGCATTCTTTCCTTTCAAGAGAAACAAAGAGGAAAGGGGCGACACAAAATAAATAACTTTTTTTTGGAAGAGGATATAAACAATTCTGAATGCTTCTTGTTCTTAAAATTCCATACAACATAGCAGCAAGGATAATCATTTTCTGTAATTCCTGTTAAAGCATTATTTGTGTTAATTGAGATAGATAGATAGATAGATAGATAGATAGATAGATAGATAGATAGATAGATAGATAGATAGATAGATAGATAGATAGATAGATAGATTAGATTAGATTAGATTAGATTAGATAGACAGACAGACAGACAGACAGAAATGTTGCTTAATTTGTGAAAAAGAAAATCTTATTTTCTCATATTCCTATGTTAAGAGCTCCACAAAATATTTTTTGGTTCTTACATCAGGTGTGTTACGATGAGACAAATAAAGATTTACACCCCAATGGCAAAATACAAGAAAAAGCATATGTACAATTCACCTTTCTTATTGCTGTTCATGTTTTGTGGGCGCTGATCCTTGTTAGGTCAGCTGGCAGGTGGTGAGGCCCTGACTAGTCAAATCAAAATATACAAGCAGGCAAACTACCTTTCAAAGAACTTGTTTGTTTGAGCAACTGCTGTATAAGGAAATAAAACACAGACCAGGAAGCAGCAATAAAGCAGCTGAACTGGTGCAGCCAACTTCCCAGGGGAGCAATTGAGGAACGCTTGTGATATGTAGAGGTCTTTCTTTTCAGTTGACATACTAGGCTTATGATACTAAATGAGACTTCAAACTGGCTGGGTGAGACTAAAAGGCAACTTGTTGATGAATTGATTGAAACACTACCTCATTCTCCCTGGAGAACTCTTGTCTTGGAGCTGGTGGCTTTTGGTTTTGATGTGTTTGTCTGGTTACATGTGTCTTGAAGAAATGTCCTCAATCAAATCTACAAGCTATGAAATTTTGAAAGAGATGGTTAATTCTTTAAAATCAGGAGACAGGTATTTTATTTCCTTAGTTTGATCCCTAACCACCTTTCTCTAAAATCCTACTTACAATAAAGCGAAGGCAGGGTTAATGTGACACAGATGTATATTTGTATTAATCTAATCACATTCCCAAAAATACGTTACAGGCGCAAATATGTCAGATGAAAAACTCATTCTCAGCACACCAGAGCTGTCAGGTTAGTAGCATCGCATTCCTTGAGATTTTAAGCCTTTCTAATTTTACCGAATCAAATGTGTGAGGATCCCCCCTTTCTCCTAAAAAGCCTTTGTGTTGTTGTTGCTAGGACTTGTGATACAAGAAGTCTCGTGAGTCATGATGTTAATCCCTGTCCTTTCCCATATGGTACAATGGACCCAGGCTTTGACATATTAAGAAGGTTGAAATAAGAAACAGGAACTGGGGAGAGAGATGGTGAATTGTGCACTTGGGCCCACTGTGCACAGACAAAACCATTCATGCTGAACCAATGAGTTCTGGCATCAGCTGACAATAGGTGGAGATGGGTTCTCATATCAGCCTATGTCTTTTTCCAGTACTGCTCATCCTGAGTGTTATCTCCCTGCCTGGAGAAGCTGAGCTATATACTGAGAATGGAGGCGGGGGGCAGATAGGTGCCCAGGATGAAGCTTCAGACCTTTGCACTCCTGAGTGACTTCCAGGTTGGGAGGAGATACAGCAGGGCTTATGTGCATGCCCATTCATCATAAAGCTGAAACTGAAAGGGATGGAAAAGGGTCCCAGTGTCAGAAGTTATCCCACCAACATAGAAAAAGTGGAAAGATCTGAGTATTCATTTGTATTTGGGTTGATTACTGATCATTATGTAATAACTGGAACGGGTTACTGTTGGTTCTAACCAGCTGTTCCTTCTTCTTGTTGTTATTCTTGTTCTTGTTCTTGTTCGTCTTCTTTATTAGCCTAATGACATCCAATGTTGGATATAGGTCACTACTTTTTGCTTTCACAAATTTCAGTTTTGCCACTATTCTAACCCATGCCAGTCCTACTGATCGTTTAATATCATCCATCCATCTATTTTATGGTCTTGCTCTACTCCTTGTGATTCAAGGTCATAATTGATGTAGTTCTTTATTTCATCATCCATCTATTTGTGTCATGGTGTGACCCACCCATCTCCATTTTAATTTTGTTATTTGTGGCATTTTTAATATATACATCTATTAAAACATAATATTTTTGCCTGACAAAAGAGAAAAAATACTGGACATGAAAGAACCAGATGTTTAAGATGAAATTATAAAAATTGCCTCCGGTAATATAAATTTCATTATTGTAGCTTTTAAAGTGGAAAATTTTCTGTCTCTGCTTGAGGGCATGCCAGTGCAACAAAAAGGGCCTACAGCCCCCCTTTGGCCTCACAAGAAGAATGTGGATGCGCATCTCTCTCTCTCTCAAGCCTTACTAAGGGAGGCCGTTGGTATGCTACAGCTCCTGATATTCCCTCCAAGGGACTATAGGATTACACAAGGGGTGGGCCACTTTAGCGAGCTAGTAGGCCAAGGTTTCATTTCCATCACTTATCATGGGCTACATCAAGCCCAAAAATGCCAGTGAATGGCCAATATGGGGTGGCGTAAAACCAGAATTGCTTAAACCTTTACTTCACATTTAACTTTTTGTGATACATCAAACTCAATGAAGTGGAGAGATTCAAATTGTTTACATAGAACATTTCTGGGGCAACAATAATAAAATTTCTAAAGGAGGGAAAAATCAGATTTTCACCAGGAAAAGTGATGATTTTACCAAAGCAACAACTGAGATACACAGTTGGCTCCAACCAGATGAGAGGTTGTGGGGTTACAGATGCTTTCAGTGTTGTTGTCTATTCTCTGGTACCGGGGATATAGCCTAGTGCTACAATTACTTTGATGATGAGAATGCCTCATTATCATTTGCCTAACTATAGGAGCATGGCATCCTCCACGTGACATGACGCTCCTATTTAGAGAAAGCAGTGCAACTGAAGAGAAGTGTCTCCACTGTAGGTGGGCAAGATTCCGATTTTCCAGGGTATCAAAATTAGAGATGGGGTTTTTTGTATACCCCTGCACAGCTGCATGTAATGAGGGTCTCGGGGGCTGGACCATCCACTCACTCATCTGCTGCCGGCTTCACTCTCCCTTCCAATTGCTCCGGAGCATGCGGTTGGCTATCTACTTGTAAGTCTTGCAAGGAGAGTGGATCTGGTGGTGGGAGCAGATACGAATACGAATACCCCCATCTCTAATCAAGATACACGGAGAGCCCCATGGCTAGCAGAGAGAGTGCTCTTCTCTTCAGACATCACTCTTCATAGGAAACAGAAATGGAAATAGTGAGCACTTTATTTTACCTGGGAAGAATACACATTTTGCTAAGAACTGAATAGGGCTTAGCAGTTAAAACTGGGACTTCAGTTTGCATAGATTTCAGTGATTCTACTCCAAGCATGATATAAGTCTGGATCTGACCAATAATACATAACAGCTGGTATTTGGGACATAGCCTATGGAATAGTTAACAAAGAGATGAGAGCAACAAAGGAAGCGTATCTGCATGACAACAAGGGAGATACACTGCAAAATGCTATAGATGTAACATAAGCAACAGTAAGGCTTAGCTAGATAGAACAAACCTGGCAAAATATAGGGACAGGACTAGTACTTGTTCTACAAACTATTGGAAGTGCAAATAACCGGAAACATTTCTTTGCTGGTAAGAAAAATATCTGAATTGGGTGTTTAGGTCATCCAGTTCAGGAGTGTCATACTGCAACTATGAGTTACATGTCTGTGAGATAGAGAGAGAATGTGGAGGAATGGGAGGGAGATATCAACTCCATTCAGATAGAGAGTTGCAAACAATTTAGGAAAGTCTTTATTGAGGGTCATCTTTTAAAAGAAATCCTTATAATTCAATGAAACATCAGAAGGGCTGAGATCAAAATTTCTGTCCCGGAGAGTTTCATGTCTCACAAGTAAAAGTACAGTTGAAAGAAAAACATTCCACTTCAAAAGTATAGTTTCTCTTTGAGCTTCATTTTCTTACCTATTTCTTGATTTTTCATTCTCTCTGTCTCTGAAAACACAATATATATTTTAATAGAATCTCTTTCTCAGCAGGAAATAAAGAAGGTTGTGAGGAAAACTGAGTCAACGGAAATGACAGGGTTCCTTTTCAGGCAGGTGAACAGCTTTCCTGCATTGAGATGGGTTTCCCTCTGATGAATTGCAGAAAACACACCAAACACACCCATTTTATTATTTCATGGGAGAGTTTCCAAAGGAGTGTAGAAACCAAACTGAAAACATTCTGAACTCTTTCTAGTGTGAGCAAGATTGACATGCTGGAGGTGGGAGAAGAGAATGTCTACACAGGAAAGTCATTTTTCAAGGAATGTAGCAAAGCTGCAATTGACTGTTCCATGATTTATTTAGCTGATATATGTATCAGAGTCCATTAATTGTGTGATGTTACCACCAGAGAAAACAAAAGAAAACTGAAACAAAGATAAAGAATCTGTGATGTATCATTAAGGAAATACCGTATTTTTCGCTCCATAAGACGCACCTTTCCATAAGACGCACCAATTTTTTAGGAGAAGAAAACAGGAAAATATAATCTGTTTTCTTCGCTCCATAAGACGCACAGACTTTCCACACCCCTGTTTTGTGGGGAAAAAGTGAGTCTTATGGTGCAAAAAATACAGTAACTGCCAAGTGTCTAGTGCTTGAATTAGGAATGTTTTGTTCTTCTGAGGCAGGAAATAGTTTAATGAATTATCCAGAATCCAGGATTACAATACATGTTAAGACAGAAAAAAAATCAGAAAAAGGCTGTGTGGCCTACCTACATACCCAAAAATAATACAAATTTATGAGGAGGTGATACCTTTTGTTGGACCACTAAAAATCAAGTAGACAGATAGTTTTTGATGATAATTCATATTCCTCAGGCTCTTCACCAAGATCTGATGTACAATTTATAAAAAATATACTTTAGAGTCCCAGTGTTTCATGGTATGGCTGTTGTTAATGCCAAGCAAGTTTTTTGAGGTGAGTTGAGAGATAGTCTGCAAAAACCTGGTAGTTTTGGTAGTTAGAAACTCTTCCCCAACCAGCATTTTGGAATTTATCTCCCATCTCTTCTAATAAAAAATTACCAAGCAATTTGGATCCACTTCTCTCCCTCTCTCCTGCAATTGCCTTATTTTGAATCTCAAGATTTCTGTTTGGCTGGAGGGGAAAGGTAATACAGCCATGTAATGGTGTCTGTCAGAGAGTTGGGATTCAAATTTAGTTTATCCACCAGATAAAGTCAATTTTAGCCAATTAAATAGTGTTACCTGGTTGGTGCTGATGTTTTCTTCATCATACAGTACTGCTTGGCTGATGTTAAAAGTCCATATTTTTCTCCAATTGGTGCCCCAGGGGTATCCTCTATAATTCAGAAAAAAGTTAGGTTTGTGAACATTTTCTTCTGTTACATCACTATGCCTTCAGTGCTGTAAAAGTACTACCAAACTGGCCTGGTTTACACAACAGCCCTGAAGAGTGTTTTGCCTAGACATGTACGTGCATGCCACAGACAGTTTTAGCTGGAAAACTTGTCAGGCCAAGGAAAAATATAGGTTAAAAACAGTGGCTGAGAAGAAATAACCTTAGGCCTCAAGGTAAGCCAAGCTCCCAAGACAAAATGGCAGAGATATAGCTCAAAATGACCCCTATTAAAATTACATAGAAAAAAAATTAATACTCCACCCATGGAGTCATCTCACAGGATAGGCTCCCTGTAGAGAGGCCAGATAGATTAGATCACCCACTTTTGTTTGTATGCTATAAGGATTGTCTGGAGTTTTGGGGAAGCAAGCATCCTAGAATGGCCTGCTCATCTTCTTCTTCCTGTTTAATCAAATGGCCTATTCTATCCACATCCTCAGCTATGTGGGAAGATAATGATCAATACAGTATCCTGGCCATGAAAGCCTTCGTGAATACACTTTAGTCATCCTTGCCAAAACTACATTTTAAAAAGGCACGCAAATGGCCTATTCTATCCACATCCTCAGCCATGTGGGAAGATAATGATCAATACAAGAAAGGACATATGACTATAAAGGGTCTAAATCACTTTAGTCATCCTTGTCAAAACGACATTAAAAAAAAGCACACATTAACCATATTGAGTGTTGGAGGGAAATTATGGGGTGAATCTTTCTGTCTGAATTCAGGAATCCAGGATTTAGCCAGAGATTCCTGCTAGCCAACATTGCTCTCCTGAATTCCTGTATTTCTTGGCTTCTATTAGCTTGTTTTCTTTTCTGATCCCTGCACAAGAATTCCCTCACATTGGTCCACATGGAGTTCCAATGCTCCCCAACTAATCTGGAACTCTCTCCTGCAATTGCCTTCTACTATTGTGTTTAATAGTCCAATACACATCTCTCAGGAATCATGCTTTATTATTTAAAGTGCTAGAATGGTAATGGACAAAGAAAATACAAAAAAAGAGAGAAATTTTCTGATCCCTGCACAAGAATTCCCTCACATTGGTCCACATGGAGTTCCAATGCTCCCCAACTAATCTGGAACTCTCTCCTGCAATTGCCTTCTACTATTGTATTTAATAGTCCAATACACATCTCTCAGGAATCATGCTTTATTATTTAAAGTGCTAGAATGGTAATGGATAAAGAAAATACAAAAAAAGAGAGAAATAAACAATCAAGTCATACTGATGGATACACAGTGTACTAATGAAATAAAGCAAGAGTTCAAAGGCTAAGAACAGCATCCTGGTATTTAAGATCCTCAGTCTGTGACCTGAAAAGACATCCCATTAACCATGAGATGTGATATTGACAGGCTGTAACATTTGAAATAAGTTTATAAATGATTTACAGTAAAACGCAAGTGACAACTAATTATGACCACCCAGCGCAAACTGCCTGCCTAATTCTTCTCTTGCCATCAATCCTCCAATTCTCTGCATGTAATTAGAACTCATATTGACTAGCTATAAATTTACTTCATTAAACCCAGAAAGGAGCCTTCTGCTTTTCCATAAACCACATCAGATTCAGACATTTAAACTGGTGGGATTGGATTGATACCAAAGGTAAACTTATTGCCATTCATTCTGAAAGTAATTGGGTTGGTTGGGGTAGGGATGTAGGGATTTGATGTTACTGACTTGAAGCTGGAATAGTAAATAAGTTTTTCTCAGCCAGCTCCACTCAATTTTTAAATTGGCAAAATTTTCAGATTCTCCCTGGACATCTCAAAAATTAGTCTGAATTTCATACTGAGAAAGCATTGATTTGATGATGGAATCATTGCAAAACAGTAAAGGTCATAGCAGACTGAGCCTTCTGATAATTTCATTTCTCATCTAATAAGCTGTGGACATCATGTGGGGTAACGTGTGCACTGAATGGCATCAAGGAAATCTTTGCTTTGTTTCATAACAGAGTGTACCCTGATCAGATACTACAAGTACATCATGTGTTGCGGGACAAAGGAATGATTTACTTTCTATGGATAATGAAAGGTGGTGTAATTCTGAAATTGATGAGGGCAGTATTAGTCCATAACATTTTAGAACAAAGATGACATTGACCACAAATTAGTAAATGAGTGTTATCAGTTTTAAAAAAATATATTTGCACTGTAGGAAGCTCTAGAATACAGAAGAAAACACACCATCTAAAATGCAATGTGCAGAAGTGTTTCAGCTTATTTGTGAGCAACACCTAACTGAAGTGTTCCCCAATACTTTTACTGTGTTTAAGCTGCACTTGACAATGCCTATCACACGCTGTAAGCAGAAAGGAATTTTTCAAAGCTATCCTTTATTAAAAACAAAACAAACAAACAAACAAACCAAAAACAAATTTCAGTCTACCATGACTGAAGAGTGCTTAAATTCTTTATGCACATTGTCTCTAGAAAATGACATTACAAGGAAGCTTTCATATGACAAAACTGTACGTGAATATGTCAGTAGGAGAAAAAAAAGAGAATATTTTGTAAAATGTGCTTCATGTTGTATGTATTCTCAGAGCTGTTCTCATTGTTCTATGATGCATGTATATAAGACTTCTCTCATTTTTATACGCACACACCATAACACAAAAACTACAAGCCATGGGACATTTTCATTCATACCTATGACTTTGATATGTGAGATAATGTAGTACAGCAGTTTTAATCAAAGTGGCTAAATTTTAAAAAAAGTGGTGATCTGTCATGAAACAAACCCACTGATGAAGACAGCAATGGTTACTCCGACTTCATTGTTGGTTGTGAAGGGGCCCTCATAACAGCTCAAGCTTCACAATCCCCAAAAATGTAGGTCTACCACTGGCCAGAGATGGCAAAAGGCAATTCATCCTACACCATCTGAGGTGAAACCTGATGTCACAAAGTGATGCGAAGTGATGCAACTCTGATGGACAGAGTTTCTACTCCAGTCCTCTGAAGATGCCGGTCACAGAGACTGGCAAAACATCAGGAAGAACAACCTTCAGAACACGGCCAAAGAGCCCGAAAAACCTACAACAACCTATGATGCAACAAGCTTAAAGTTTCCATCTTGGAATATTTTTTCTACAGAGAACAAGATCAGTCTGTAATTGACAATCTGAATTGAACAATCAATTGGAATTAAAATATCCCATAATCTTCAGACCACAAGCTTTGGCACTGCCATGTCTGTGCCAAAATCCTAATTCATTTTTATGCTTATATAAGAAGTCTTACACAACATTTACATTTCCTGCTGGCATATTCCACTTAATGCAAATAGGCAAATGACCATTAATGCAATCAGTGTGTGCCTGATTGAGCTAAGGAGATCGTGCTGAATGTGGAGAAAAACGTATGCACTAGTCATTACATGATCATGTAAGAATCCTAACTCAAGAGTCTAAACTTGGGCAAGAGAATTTTATTAAACTTTTCTGTTTCTCCAGCACTCCTTCAAGCCTTGCAGTGCCGAAACTGAAGATTGTTCTAGACATGAAAGCTGCTTTTAATATTTCAGTGATGTAGTATTTCGTAGTCTTGTTTGGGAGTTTGACCATATGACTTTTTTCTTTTTGGTATGTCTTGCAAGGTAAAATATTTAATATCAGGCTGCAGTTGCCCAGTGAAATGAATATATGAATAAATAAATGAAGCCAGTGCTAAAAACGAATTATAGCCTATGCTATGCCCTGGGATTTAAGTAACCGAATCTACGTACTGTAGCTTGCTTTCTGTTCATAGTCATTTTTCACATGTCCTTGCCACAGTGATCTCTTTTCATTTTATAGTTTTTTTTTTTTTTTTTTTTTTTTTTTTTTTTTTTTTTTTTTGCTGGGGGAATGTTTTTTATGGGAGACTAAAGAGGTAATTTTTGCATTGACTCCATTACCTGTGTATAATTAAACTCGTAAAAAATCTGTCTCTAGCGCAAAAGAACTTCCTCCGTTATGCTGGAGAAAAAGTTTCATAAAAAGGAAGACATCATCAGAATGCGCCACTAATTCTGTAAAATAAAAGAGAACATTTTTGGGGGGTGGGGAGTTTTATTACAACATTAGGGATGAGTTTTCCTTTAGCTTTCCAATAGCTGTACAGGTAACACAAGTGACCAAACAACTGTTTTAGGGAGTTGCTCACGTTCTTATTCATGAAGATCACTGAAAGCAATACTCCGCATTTGGCTAAGGGTGTGCCCACACTAGCAGCAAGGAGCAAGCTAATGTGAGCCATTTGGGAACAGTGGAACTTGATAAGAATGATTTAATAAAATCTGATCATTCACACAAAAATGGCTCCTGACAATATAATGAAGTGGCTTAAAAACTGCCCATACCTGAAGCCACCACCATGGAGTCAACTGTAGGTGGTTCCTGGACTGGCCATTTGAGGCAAGATAAAGAATATATATATCAGCAATAATTTGCAACTAGTAGAAAAAAAGTTCAGTGATTAATCTGTTAATACCCTGAAATGGCTTGCTTAGAGCATGAAGCCCGGGTAAGGTAATATGGAGGATAGGCTGTTACCCAAGCAGCAGATCCCCCCTCTCCACATTGCTGAAATGGTCCAATGGAAAGGCAAGAGCCAATACAACTGGTTCCAGCAATGTCGCAGGAGTTGGCAGAACGACACATGCTGCCTTCGGGACTCCAGCTCCGGATTTTGCCTCGAGGTTAACTCCTGAAGCCTATTCCATGAGAATATGTATAGCATATCAGCAATAATCTGCAACTAGTAAAAAAAAGTTCAGTAATTAATCTGTCAATATCCTGAAGTGGCTTGCTTATTAAGACACTTCACGATACCAGCAAATTGGAAGAAGAAGGCGATATGGGGAATATTTGGATTGGTTCCAGTGACCACGAGCATTAGAACTGCTGCAAACAAGAGTGATTCTACACAGACTAGAAAAATAAAAGCCCCTTGACAGGAGCCTGAAAGTTGTGAGTAGGAATGCTCAGGAGGCAGGCTTGTGTGCTCAAGCAAAGACATTGTCTGGTGATGTCTGTAAGAGTACACGGACCATCCATGCAGTGCTCCAAACAGCAGGCTAAACAGCTTGTGTTTAGACTCTAAGCAGATTAGGATCACCAGCAAATTGGAAGAAGAAGGCGATATGGGGAATATTTGGATTGGTTCCAGTGACCACGAGCATTAGAACTGCTGCAAACAAGAGTGATTCTACACAGACTAGAAAAATAAAAGCCCCTTGACAGGAGCCTGAAAGTTGTGAGTAGGAACACTCAGGAGGTAGGCTTGTGTGCTCTAGCAAAGACATTGTCTGGTGATGTCTTTAACAGTACACCGACCATCCCTGCAGTGCTCCAAACAGCAGGCTAAACAGCTTGTGTTTAGACTCTAAGCAGATTAGGATCTCCAGGTTGTCAGCTGCAGCTTCTGACCTTGATGATACATATTCCTGTTGTTCAAAAAACAAAACAAAAACAGCAAACAAAGAAAAAGTCTTATAGACTGTTTTTAAATGTTGTGCTGGCCAAGATATCTGGGAATTGCAGTTCTCTAAGACTGGGAACCAAGGGCTTAGGCAATTCCGGCTTTGTATAGGACTTGACTGTATATTGTTACAGATAACATCAATAGGTTCCAGATGAAATTGTGCAGATAGATGTTTAACCCAGTTAAAGGAAGTTTGATGAAGGGGGCTATTGCCTTCTGAGCACAGGTAATACAAAACAAAATAAATCATCCACTGCCCTTGTTTTGAATGCAGTAACCGTTCATATCTAAATAGTGCACTAAGGACAGCCCATGAAATAGCAAGCACAGCAGAGACAGTTTTGTATTAATTAAATCAATAATGTGATACATAAGAATTTAATTTAATTTAATTTAATTTATGTGTGCGATGACAGTGATGAAATGAAACCTTAACCAGTGATCTGGTGCTGGTGGTAATTCTGTTCATGTGTACTAACCAAACCCAGAAGGTCTCCTATGAGAGGAATAGAAGGAATGGCTTTGTTTTGTTTTTGCTTGTGTCAGAAGCTGGGAGGGGTATCCATTGTCAGTTGCATCACCTTCTTAGTTGTTAACACAGTCCTCGGCTTATTCAGTTAAGTTTTACATTAGATGTTGCTCTGTGTTGTGAGGGATTGAATCAATGACAGTTAGTGACATAAATAAAACTCTCTGGCATGATTGGCTGCGATGCCAGTATGTCATGAAGGGACACAGAAGGTGGAAACAATCCTCGTGTCTGTCACAGGAAATATCCTGACTGGGAGCCATAAAAGAGCAACTGCAGTTTAATGCAGTGAACAGGATTTACCCTTTGCCTTCAAGGCAGATTTCGTAAGGGTTTCCAAAAATACAATCTATCTCTGAAGAGTTGGCTGGCTGGCAGTAGCTTGAAGTGAGGCACATGCCTTAAATAACCAGCCCCCAGTGCCTATTGAAATTCTATATGGTCTGTGTGAGGTAGGCTTGGTACATGCTTTATATTTGTAAACACTTGTCCTACTGAAACCCATCTCTTTGCTGAATTTGTTTTCAGTATTTGTGCAACACAGATCTGTAAAGTTGAATGATTCTAATATTATCTGGAAGGAAGGAGTACCAGCTTCTGAAGTTGTCTGAAGAAAATGACAGCTCTTTTCAGTAAGCTCCAGTATTGCCTTTTTACAGAAAGAAACTGAAAGTAAATCACTGCAGTCACTGAATGTGAATCTAACATCTTGATTTTTGTTTTCATATTGGAAATAGAAATATTTATTGTACTTTTGTGACTTCTTTCCATCACTGCTTTCAGCCTTGCTATTTATCCTAGATTTGGCTTTGCTTTATCATTTCTTACCATTTTTATTTAGAACTAATCTTTTCTGCTCGTTCAACATGTATGGGAGGCAGGAGATTAATGTTTGACAACCAGAAATTCAACACGCAACTCCTGCTTTGAATAAAGTAGTCGCAGTCTGAATCTGTTTTTCTCTTATTAGAATTGGGCTTCACTCACATTGAAGTTGTAATGGAAAGTTGCATGATCCCTGGCTTCAAATAATGGAAGTTCCCACTTTCTAACCCCATCCCCATTGGAAAGGAGGAAATGTTTCCATTCATCTGTTTTGTCCTTTAGCATACAGTGGGGTCTTGACATGAGAACTGAATCCGTATTGGACGGTGGTTCTCAAGTCAAAAAGTTCACAGGTCAAATCTGCATTTCCCATAGGAATGCATTGAAAACCATTTGAGCCGTATCTGCTCTTTTCCGTCCATAGAAACTAATGGGAAGCTGCTATTCCGCCTTCGACCACTAGAGGGGGATATTTTGTTTCTTTTTTTCTTTGGTCAAGAAAGGTTCAGGGAAGGCAGGGAAAATACAGTCCAGGCAGTTCAGTACCAGGCAGTCTGAAGACTGTCTCCCAATCCACCTTCTAAATGCTGGGAGGAGTGAGAAAGTAGACAGGCACCCTTTTCACTGGCCAACAAACTGAAAGTTCAAATTTTGCACTTTCCCTGCCTCCCAACAATCCTCGTGTCTGTCACAGGAAATATCCTGACTGGGAGCCATAAAAGAGCAACTGCAGTTTAATGCAGTGAACAGGATTTACCCTTTGCCTTCAAGGCAGATTTCGTAAGGGTTTCCAAAAATACAATCTATCTCTGAAGAGTTGGCTGGCTGGCAGTAGCTTGAAGTGAGGCACATGCCTTAAATAACCAGCCCCCAGTGCCTATTGAAATTCTATATGGTCTGTGTGAGGTAGGCTTGGTACATGCTTTATATTTGTAAACACTTGTCCTACTGAAACCCATCTCTTTGCTGAATTTGTTTTCAGTATTTGTGCAACACAGATCTGTAAAGTTGAATGATTCTAAT